TGCACTCCAGCCTGGGTAACAAGAGCGAAACTCCGTCTCAAAAAAAAGAAAGAAAGTAAAAAACCTACAGAATGGGTGGAAATACTTGAAAATCTGATAAGGTCTATTAACTCGAATACATAAAGAACTCTTACAATGCAACAACAAAAAGACAAACAGCCTGACTTTAAAATGGGCAAAGGACTCAAACAGACATTTCTCCAAAGATACACAAATGGTCAAGAGAAACATGAAAAGATGCTCAGCATCATGAGTCATCCCGCAAACATAAATCAAAACCACAATGAGGGCCAGGCACGGTGGCCCATGCCTGTAATCCCAGCACTTTGGGAGGCTGAGGTGGGCGGATCACTTGAGGTCAGGAGTTCAAGACCAGCCTGGCCAACATGGTGAAGCCCCATCTCTACTAAAAATACAAAAATTAGTTGGGCATGGTAGCACATGCCTGTAGTCCCACTGCTTGGGAGGCTGAGGCCTGAGAATCTTTTGAACCCGGGAGGCAGAAGTTGTGGTGAGCCAAGATGGCACCACTGCACTCCAGACTGGGAAACAGAGCAAGACTCTGTCTCAAACACACACACACACACACACACACACACACACACACACACACACTGAAGTACGACTTTACACTCCCTAAAATGGCTGTAATAAAAAAAAACAAGTGTTGGCAAGGATATAAATTGTCACCCTCATGCACTGCTGGTGGGAATGTAAATGGTGCAGCTGCTTCGAAAAGTTAAATATAGAATATATCACCCCAACGTCCATCAACAGATGAACAGACAAAAAATGTGATACATCTACAACACAGATTATTCATCACAAGAAGAAATGACATGGCCAAGCACGGTGGCTCACACCTGTAATCCCAGCACTTTGAGAGGCCAAGACGGGCGGATTGCCTGAGCTCAGGAGTTTGAGACCAGCCTGGGAAACATGGCAAAACCCCATCTCTACTAAAATACAAAAAAAATCAGCCAGGCATGGTGGCGGGCGCCTGTAATCCTAGCTATGCAGGAGGCTGAGGCACAAGAATTGCTTGAACCCAGGAAGCAGAGGTTGCAGTGAGCCAAGACCACGCCACTGCACTCCAGCCTGGGCAACAAAGTGAAACTCTGTCTCAACAAAAAAAAAAAAGAAAGAAAGAAATGACATACTGATACGTGATGAAACATAGAGGAACCTCAAAAACATTAAGGTTAGTGGAGTGTGGTGGCACCCGCCTATAGTCCCAGCTACTCTAGAGGCTGAGGTAGGAGAATCACTTGAGACCAGGAGGTTGTGGCTGCAGTGAGCCATAAGCCAAGGTCCCACCACTGCACAGCAGCCTGGGCGACAGTGCAAGACCCTGTCTCAAAACACCATGTTGCTAAGTGAAAGAAGCCAGTCACAAAAGGCCACATATTGTATGATTCCATTTACATGAAATGTCCAGAGTACATAAATTCATAGAGACAGAAAATAAACTGGTGGTTAGCAGATGCTGGGAGGAAGGGGATGCTATGAATTGAATTGTCCCCCAAAGTTCATGTGTTGGAAACTTGATCCCAAGCCTCATCGGAGGTGTCTGGGACAAGGGAGCACCACCCTCATGAATGGATTAATGACATCACTGCAGAGTGGGTTCCTTATAAAAGGAGGAGTTCAGCCAGGCGTGGTGGCTCATATCTGTAATCCCAGCACTTTGGAAGGCCAAGCCGGATGGATCACCTGAGGTCAGGAATTCGAGACCAGCCTGGCCTACATGGTGAAACCCCATCTCTACAAAAAGGAGCCAGGTGTGGTGGCACCTGCCTACAATCCCAGCTACTCAGGAGGCTGAAGCAGAACTGCTCGAACCCAGCAGGTGGAGGTTGCAGTGAGCCAAGATCGCACCCTTGCACTCCAGCCTGGGCAACAAGGGTAAAACTCCGTCTCCAAAAAGAAAAAAAAAAAAAAAAAAAAGATGAGTTCATCCCTGTCTTGTTCTCTCTCACCCTTCCCCTTTCCACCATGGGATGTGCAACAAGAAGATGCCAGCCCCGAACCTCAGACTTCCCTACCTCCAGAACTGTGGGAAGATTCTGTTCATGATAAATTACCCAGTCTCGGGTAATGTGTTATAACAGCACAGAATGGACTAAGACAGAAGGTACAAACACTGACTGCTTAATGGGTACAAAGTTTTATTTTGGGGTAATGAAAACGTTTTGAAACTAGAGGTAGTGGTTACACAACACTGTGATATACTCAAGGCCAATGAATCATATACTTCAAAATGGTTAATCTTACATTATGTAAATTTCATCTCCTTTTATTTAAAAAAAGATAAATACTAAAAACAACCTTATCTGTGTTACTGGAGGTTAGGAGAGTGGTTCCTGCTTGGGAAGGGCACAAGAGTTTCTGGGGACTGTCTCATTCTATTTCTTGAACTGTACACTGGAATTGGGGTGACTTTATTATTTAGGCATTTATCTGTGGCCTTTCACAATTTGATAACAAGCTAAGAAAATAAACCTAAAGGCCAGATACACTGGCTCATGCCTATAATCTCAGCACTTTGGGAGGCCAAGACAGGGGAATCACTTGAGGCTAGGAGTTCGAGACCCGCCTGGGCAATATACCAAGACCCCATCTCTATGGGGGAAAAAAAAAACAGGTAGAAGGAAAAATATTCTCACAATTGTATTCCTATTTTGCAAATGAAGAAACTGAGTTACAGAGAGGTCCTAATACTTTGCACAAGCTTCCCAGTTGTTACCCAGGAGAGCTAGGATTGGAGAAAACAGCCCACATCTTGACCACTGCACTGCCTGCCTCTAAACTGGCAGATGGGGCCTGGCAGAGGGCAGATGCTCTGCTAGTGGTGGTGTGCTACAGCTGTGTCAGAAGTGGGACCAGCACATGGGTGACTCTGATTCGACGTACATCACTACACTCTAGGCCTTAAGCACAGCTTGCTGGGTGAGAGGCAGCACGTGGGCCGGGCCTTGAGAGCCCTGGTTCAGGTGTCAGAGGGACTGAGTCCAGCCTCAGCTGTACTCACTCCTTGCTGAAACCTCAAACAAGTCACTCTTCCTACTGAGCCTCAGCCTTCCAGTCTCTAAGGTGGCACATGCCCCACAGGGCACCTATGAAAATTCAACATCAGGCTTGCCTAGAGCAAAGCCCAGTGTCTGGCACACAGGAAGTACTCAGTAAACCAGCACTGCTATTATCTTAACTACCAAGGGTGGGAGTGGGGCAGCACAGGTGCCAAAACAGCAGTAGCCAGCAGGGCCCACCTCGCCTCGCCCACCTCTGCCAGATGCTACTCAAACAGATGGGCACTGGGACAGCCCAGGAGTGCAAGTGTGCACATGCGTGTGTATAGACAGGTGTGTCAGAGCTGGGCTATCCCATATGACAGGGGCAGGCCTGTAGCTGGGTCATCTGGCCCTCTGTAGCATGAATGGAGACATTGAAGGCCTAAGACGGGCCAAGACTCATTTGACCAGGGAGAAACTCCTCCCCTCCAACAGTTCTGCACCCATCCCAAGGCTCTCACAGTCCAACCTAGTGAGCCACAGCCTCCCAAAGTGCAGGCCAAGGGACAGGAGCCCATGACCCTACGTACCCCAGCACATCATCCATACACAATGCCAATGATTCATTCAACCATCATTTACTGAGTGCCTACTGTATGCTCACCACTTTTAGACGTGTTGGGGATACCACCATGAAGAAGCAACATGAAAATGCCTGCCCTTGTGGAGCTGACAACAACAGAGGCCTGGCTTGTTAACCCATTTTACGGATGTGAAACCAAGGCCCAGAAAGTTGACACAGCTTGCCCACAGTCGCACCAAGAGGAAGCAGCAGAACCAGGGTTAGAACCTTGATACCTCCCAAGGCTAAGGAAGCTCCGTCAACAACCCCAAACTCCAGGCTCAGGCTGGGGGACTAGGCCAAGGGGCCTTGAAAGCCATCCCAGTCCAGAAAGAGCAGCAGGACATGGGTCTCCTCTGCTCAGTCGGGGGGGTGGCTGTCCCAGGGAGGGGCCTCCACCTCTCATTGCTGCTCCCTGTCTGCAGGCTGGGACAGTGCAGGATCCCAGGCTCTTCCCTACGCCCACAGCACGAGCGCCATCAGCCTCCTGCCCCTCTTCGAACAAGCCCGGTTACCCCTCAGAACTCACTGGCTGTCCCCTCTGACATAACCATGGGGCTCACTCCCACACTTTCTTCAAGTCTTTATTCAGATGCCCCCTTCTCAGCGAAGCCCCCTCTGGCCGTCCCGCCTGCCTCATGCCCTCCATCCTTCTCAAGTTGCTTAATTTTCTCCATGGCTCACACCACTGCAGTACACACCTGTCTGCCTGCGAGCTGCCTGCCTCCCTATCACCACCCAAGATCGAGGATGGGATGTCTGCCCATCTGGCTCACTGCTGGACCCCAGGACCTAGAACAGGGCCCGGCCCACAGGCGCTGCTCAGCACGTTTGCTGAATGAATGCAAGTGTACACAGGGCAGCCACCCCCACACCTGGGGCCCTTCCTCCCACGGGGAGGCCAACGGAAACCAGCCCGGGACAAAGCCACCTCTCAGCATGTGGCACTTCTCCCCATGTGCCTCCCAGTCTTGCTTGGCAGCCACTTGGGGACAAGCAGCCCTGGGGTCAAAAACGGTCTCTTCCTTGTCCTGACTTCACTAAAAGGGGACCTCGACTTCCCACTAGTACAAATGGATCAAGCCATGCAGCAGCTCACGACGTCGCAGGGTTGCTGTTACCTGGAGCGCCAAAGCCAAGGTCCTTTCCGTGGCCTGCAGGCCCAACACAGCTAGCCCAGCATTACTCCTCTGCTCGCCTCCCCGAGCTCCCCCGAGCTCACACTGCCCCATGCTGTTACCAGAACACACCAGGTATACCCCCACCTCAGAGCCTCTGTCCTTGTGTCCTCCTCCCTGGGATACCCTTGCCCTTGCCTCCTCCAGGCTCCAGGCCTCTTCCCACTACCACCTCCTCAGGGCAGCCTCTCGATGCCCCCTCTCTCCAGCCGTTGGCCCTCACAGTTCCCGATTTTCACCCCAGCACTTGCCACCCCGGCATTCCACGCCTGCTTATTTACTGTCTGCCCCACCCCCACTGGAATGTAAGCTCCATCAGGGCACCACTGTGTCTCAGAGCCCAGGCTGAGGGGTTGTGACTGTGGCACACAACACACAGTCAGTGAATACTGCCTCACTGTGTTAGTTCAGTTACGTGACTTCCCCTTTCCAGATATTTCTGCATCAATAAAATGGGGCTATGAATGAGATCACTCATGCACAGGTAGATCCCTGCTCTCCTGCCCAGGCGACCACTGAAGGAGTCCAAGAAACGAGTCGGAAGCAGCTGTGGGCCTGGGGCTGCAGCACGCTGACTCCTCAGGCCAGTAAGACCCTATGCCTCTGGCACAGCTTCCAGGAGGAGCCAGGGTGGGAGACGGACGAAATCCGGCGGGCAGAGGCAGCCCCTTACCGCGCTTGTGGAGCCAGCCTTCTTTGATGACAGACACCTCGTTCATGGTGGCAGCGTGGCACGCTGTCACCTAGCTCGGGACAGCTCAGGGCAGCAGGACATGCAGGAGGCGCCGTGGACAGGGCACAGTCTGCAAGACAAGAGAGGAAGTGGTCAGGGAGGGAGGGGATTCCACACCAGCCCTTTCCCTCAGGATACCAGGCTCTGAGGCCCTCTGGCTGCTCTGCCCACTCAGCAAAGGGTAGGGCCAGCAAGGGTGGCATGGAGCCCTGTTCTCAAGAACCCATTCTGAGCAGAGAGATGTGGCCACGTCTGCAGGGACCCTAATCTAGGGGAAGCAGAGCTTCCTAGCCTGAGTGCAGGCCAGACCCCAAACTCTGGACACCCATGCTGGGTGGAGATGGCCCCTCCACCCACAGTCACTCCTAACTGAGCGAGCATCAAGGTAGCTGTGCTGTGACCTCCACGTCACTCCCATGGACCAACAATGAAATGACCCAGGACGAATCAGACGACCCAGGGCACCTGAGGCAGAACGCAGAACCACTAGCATCTGCCTGCACCCCCATCTTACACACACACACACACAGACACACACACACACACACACACACACACGCACACTCACGGGCACTCCTCCCTCTCTCTCCCCACCACTTCTTTCCAAACCAGGAAGCCACCAACCTGCCACCTTTAACAAACCAATCACACTTGCGTCTCCCCATGCCATCCCACGCCACTTCCCGAGCCTCCACGGCCTCCCTCCCCTTGACAGATGACAGAGAAAACACAGGTCTCAGACACTCCAGGATCTTGAACAAGAAAGCAACCTACTGCTTATGCCCAGTCTGGGGCCTGGAAGCCAGTTCCAGGGGCTTGACCAAGGCCCTGGTCCCTGCCCCAGGACTTCCACTTCTGTCCTCAGGGACCAGCAACTGACAGACTGACAGACGCCAAGCCCGCTGCTTCGTCTCAGGTTCCCGGAGCGGAGGGGAGGAGGGCGTGAGGCGGCCGCCAGCTGGGCCCCTACCTGGAGCCTGGGGCCTGGCCAGGATCCACGGAGCCCAAGGCGCCTTTGCCTTTCCCAGCCTGGGGTTATTTGCGGACAGCAGGTCAGGAGCTACGGTGGCCCCCAGAGAAGTGGCAGCTGGCTCTAGGGACACCGTGGGCATCAGCTTTCTCTCGTGCCCCAGGGGAGCTGGTGGGCCGGACACGCTACTGCCTGGCATGTGACAGTGGCATGCTGCCCAGGCCCCGGGCAGAAGGAAGGGAGGTAAGTGGGAGGAAGCGGGAGGAAAGACAAGATGGACAATGACAGGGAAGTAAACAGGAGGATGAGGATCACATTCCGGACTCCAAGCAGCAAAGCCAACAATGTGAGGCAGGGGGCAGCAACGAGGGGCGCCCCTTGCCAGTGGCACGCCTGGCACCCCACAACCCATACACACAGGACTGCCAGACGCTCAATCCTCAACACCCCACATCTCAGCCGGACACAGCAGCTCACATCTGGAATCCTAACATTTTGGGAGGTCGAGGCGGGAGGATCCCTTGAGCCCAGGAATTTGAGACATGCCTGGGCAAGACCCTGTCTCACTACATAATATTTTTCTACAAAAAAGTTTAAAAATTAGCTAGGCATGGTGGTATGCACCTGTAATGTCAGCTACTTGAGAGGCTGAGGCAGGAGGGTCACTGGAGCCTGGGAGGTCAAGGCTACAATGAGCCTTGATTGCACCACTGCACTCCAGCCTGGGTGACAGAATGAGGCCCTGTCACAAAAAATTTATATATATAAATATGTATTTCTGTATCTCCCACTGTTCCGTGTCAGTCTCTAATGTCACCACCTCTCCCCATCCTGCCCGCGGTCTGGCCTGGCTCTAGTTGGGTCTGCCCCCACCTCTTCCCCAAGTTCCTACGCTCCACTCTTGCTCCTCACCACTCGCCCCACATTTAGCAGCCAGAAGGACCCTCAATGCTGAACCTGTCTTTCTCCTGCTCAAAACCCTTTGTGGCTCCCTGGTGTTCAGCAAAAAAGCCAAACTCCTCAGCTTAGGATCCAAGGCCCTTCAGGATGTGGCCTCTGCAGCCCTGTGTTCCAGGTGCATGAGCTGAGACATGCACCTAGAAAGCTCTCGGGAAAGCCTAAGGAGCATGATGTTGACTACTGCAGCTCTCTGCCTCTCCTCCCCACCCTACTCTCCGAGTTACGATTCTGTCACTCAGGCACTTCCCTCTGGCCTCCATCAGGGACAGGGCCTCCTTCTGGGCGTTCTTCTCCCTCTCCCTTGAGGTCTCAGCTCAACTAGTGCCTCCTCCAGGAAGCCTTCCTCACCTCACAGGCTGCAATGGGTGCTCTTTGTGCACCCCTGGAGCAACCTTCCCCACAACTATAAATGCTAATGCAGTGGGCCAGCAAAGAGTCTGGTATCTACTGAGCACATGAAGAAAGAAGCCAAGGCTGGGAGCGGCAGCTCACACCTGTAATCCCAGCACTTTGGGAGGCTGAGGCGGGCAGATCACCTGAGGTCAGGAGTTTGAGATCAGCCTGATCAACATGGAGAAACCCTATCTCTACTAAAAATACAAAATTAGCCGGGAGTGTAGCACATGCCTATATTCCCAGCTACTTGGGAGGCTGAGACAGAAGAATCGCCTGAACCTGGAAGGCGGAGGTTGTGGTGAGCTGAGACTGCACCATTGTAGTCCAGCCTGGGCAACAAGAGCAAAACTCCACCTCAAAAAATAAAAAAAGAAAAGAAAGAAGCCAAGTGTCCCCAACAGACAGACCCCTACCCTAGGACCAGACACAGCCAGACACACTACCAGATGCTCTTCATGCCACCAATCTTTTCTGGGGTGCGTCCTAGGCTCCAGGCGGTACCAGCAACAGAATGTCACTAAGACACAGCCCTGCCTTCATGAGCCTCACAGTCTGATGGGAGGGTCAGAAAAATACACAGATATGCAAATGACAATGTCAGGTGGTGGGGAGGCAGGACGAATAGGCGGCTAACTTGGTGTGGGGGACTCATGAGCAGACACCCGAGTTAAGTGAGGGAGTGAGCTGTGTAGACACATGAGGAAATGCATTTCAGGGAAACAGAAAATGCAAGGACCTGAGGCAGGAGGGGGGCTGGTGAGGGAAAGCCAGGGAGAGGCGGGCAGGGGAGAAAGCTGAGGCCTTCTGACTCCCTACACAGACCCACATCATGCCTTCCCTGACATGAGCTCAGTTCAAAAGACTTCCCAAATGGCTGGGAGGGAGAACTCCAAGTCCAAAGCAAGGGCTGTCATGTGGTGGGAATAGCACAGGGGCACCATGTCTCATTTCCCATCCCGCTTGCCCACAGTGCCCCAGAGACATCACCTCTCAGGGCCCTCGTGATGCGGCAGCACCTGGGCTATCGGCAGCACTAAAGCACCCACTGTGGGCCCAGGGCTCGGCGAACAGCCAAACACATGGCTGCCATTATTCCGGAGAAGCAAGGGCAGCCAGGTATGGCCAAGAGTGGACAGGGTTCCTGAGTCCGAGAGTCACCGTCAGCTGGGTGGCCTTGGGCAGGGTGCCGGTGCTCCCATGGAGTCACTCCTGAACGCTCCCAACACCCCACCAGAGTCAGTGACCATGCCCAGGTGAGACAAAAGCTCAGAGGAGGGAAGCTGTTTACCTTGGGTCTCCCAGCCGAGAAGCAGTGGAGGCCCTGGCCGCTGCTGGGATCAACAGAGACGCTTCTTATAATCTCATTTCAGCAACTAGGGAGTCAGCACAGCTGGAGGGAGTGCAGGGGGAGGAACTGGAAGATCCCCTGTGTCCCGCCTGGATCCTGCCCTGTCCTCCCACTGAGGGTGGCGCCTAGCTGAGGTGTCCGTGACGCAGTCCTGGGGTGATGAAATACCAGCCACCGCAGCCAAGAAGATGGCCTGCTCACTGGGGAGCTGCCGACAGAGGACACCTAGGCTGGGGGACAGAGTCTCGCCTGTGGAACCCCTGCAGCACAACCCACAGAGGGGAGGCCCCGCAGAAGGGAGGCCCCGCATGACCCCACCCCACTCACTACTGGGGGTGGCTGGGCATGAGTCTTCTGAGGGCCTGGGCCAGAGCTGCAGCTGTTGACTCAAGGCAAGCCACCTGGAAGGCAAGGTGAAAAGGGCAAGAGCACCTCACAGGAGAGGATACCCACACAACCAAGAAACACAAATCATCTCATTAGTTACATGGAAATGCAAATTACAACCACCTACCTGGGATGGCTCAAATTTTAAAAACTGACAAGGCCAAGTGTTGGCAAGGACAAAGAGAAATCAAAATCCTTATTCACTATTGGTGGGAGTTGCAAAATGGTTCAACCACTGTGGAAAACTGTTAAGCAGTCAAAATTAAAGCTCAATATCCAGCTACCCCATGACCTAGCAATGCCTCTCAAGGAAATCAGTATATGTAATTCCATTCTAGAGTAAGACTTGTACTAGAATGCTGACAGTGGCGATATTCACAGTAACCCCAAACTGGTAACAGACCAGGAGTCCACCCAAGAGAATGGATAAAAAACACATAGATCCAAAGTAGAACACTACTCAGCAATGGAAAGGACTGAGCTGCTGCTGAATCCAGCAGGGAAGGAGAATGTTATGGATTAAAAGAAGCCAGACAAAAAGTCATACATCAAAGATGACTCCACTCACAGCAAGTTCAAAACAGGCAAAACAATACTATGTAGGGATGCCTTTCTCGCTTGTAAAACTAGGCAGAAAATCAAGGAAAACACAGACCCCAAAGGAGTGGTTCCACTTAGGAGTAACAGAGTGGGGAGGCCTCCTGGGAGCTGACAATGTTCTTTTGTGGTTACGCAGGGCCTTGCCTAGATGTTACACTCTATCTACTATGTGAAATGTGTTTAATATTATCTGTATTTTATGATAAAAGAAGTAACTGTACAAAAGAACCCAGGGTCTGGGAGTCCAGATGACCCAGAGGAGCTGAAACTGGGCCTCCTGGCTCCCACAGCAGGACCCTCCTCTGCCTCCCCAGCAAGGCTGGCCTGCCTCAATTTCCCCCTCAAAAAGGCCCAGTCACCCATGGGTAAGGAGGTGCAGTCTCATGTCCAGAGGATCCAAGTTCAATCT